TTTCTAACTGCTTACTCCGTGGCTGTCCTTAGCTTGTTTCAGAACAGAAGTGTTTTACAGACTGGCCCCACTTTGAGTGGCTGGATGAGAGGGAGTAGAAAGGTTGATATGACCAGTGGTGTGAGAGGAAGAGTCAGGGATGATAGGGGTATATGATTTTGTAGGCCTTTTAAGGACTTGCTTGTATTCTGTGTGAAATGGGGGAACTACTAGGTAATTTTTAAAATTGCATTACTTCTGTATAATTCATTTTAGTGTTCAAATTGATGAGTTTTGGCAATAATGTACAGTTGTGTAATGACAATAATCAACATGCAGAGTATTTCATCACTCTTCAAAGCTCTCTTAGGAAGTCAGCCTTTCCCCCAACCTCCAACTGTAGGCAACTACTAACCGGCTTTCTATCACTGTAGTTGGGCCCTGTCTAGAATGCTTTTGAGTCTTCTAATTGCTAGTACCAGCTTACTGCTAGTACTCCATTGCACGTACCAGCAGTTTGTTCTGTCAGTGGATGGGTGTTTGGGTTCTTTGAAAATAAAGTAGCTATGAACATTCACATGGTCATGTGGACCTATTTCAGAAGATTTTGAGCAGAAGACTGACATGGTTTACTTTTGTAAGCTTTTTGTTTTGATTTAATTTCCAATAGGCAATAGGTATGAAAGATGCAGAAATAGTACACAGAGCTCTCATAAATGTTTCTGAACCACTTGAGAGTACATTGGCCTGATTGCTCATTACCCTTTAAATACTTCAGTGTGTATTTCCTGCATAACTACAGTATGACCAGCAAATTCAGGAAACAGTCCAGTATTTAATCCAATTCAAATTTTGCTGATATCCCAATAGTGGCTCAAGAAACCAATTCAGACGCATGTGTGGCATACAGTTCTCATTTCTTTTTAGTTTCCTGTCATTTCCTAACCCTGTCCTAATCTTTCGTGATCTCATTCCCTACCCCCACCCCCTTCCGCCCCCCCCATCCCAAGTTCAGCTTTATTATCTAACCAGTCTCTGGAACATTAAAGTTAATTGTTCCAAAGTTGAATTAAAAGTTCAGTTTACAGATAGTTGATAGCTTCTGAAAAGCATTTCTAAGTTAAGAATGGAAAAAAAATACCTACATAATATATCATCATATACAAGTTAGCTTCAAATCTCATCAGGTCCACACTCAGCAACATCAGTCTTTTTCCCTTTTGCAAACTCCATTAGATCCATAGGCTTTTCTTTTTCCATGACAGGGCAGGGGATAGAAATGCCCATTGCTTTCTGAACTCTGTACATGACGATGATATCACCTGGAGTTACTTGGTGTGCAAGTTCTTTTAAGGTTACTGGTTACTTGATCAGTGAGATGCATTCTTCTGTATGGGGGACAGATCATGTTGGGAGGGGATTTGGTACTCAGCTGCTTGTTCTGGGTTTCCTCGAGGTCACTGAGCAATTTGGTGGTCTCTCCAGGTTTCCTCTGGATACTTGAGCTTCTTCAGAGTCAAAAACATCAACTGGAGTATCAGAGTTTGCTACTGCTTCCAGCGCTAACAGCCTGTCATGACTAATGGAGTCTAACCACCCCACTGGCTCTATTTCTGTAAACTATTTCCTTGGCTGTGTTGAGTGTGCTTGTTTGGCTTTCATCTTCAGGTGATGATGTCTTTAGCTCGTGCAGGGTTGTAGGATACCCTCCTGTTATTAGAAACATCCAGTAAACCATCTGCCATGACATATGGGTAATCTTGGTAGTGGTCAAAACCTTGCGGATATTTAAATCGCTGGGGAGATTAGAGTCTTTCTCATAGTTTGAACAAATCAGAATTGTCCTTGCTGTTATTGGCAAATGTGGAGTCATAGTGTGAAGCATAAGACCTGCAGGGCTCTTAATTCAAATATAGCACCAGAATTACTTTGTTCCTTTAATCTTTTTCAAAACGCTGTGGAGTATTCACTCCAGACTGAAGCCTTCCAGCGGTCATGCCCAGTCTCACAGGGCAGTAGCTGCGTTCTCCTACAACAGGGTCCATAGGGTGCGGAAGTCCCAGTGTCCTGGTTCCATCTGGTTTTCTTTCAAATTCATGCTGACTATTAACAAGCCACCGGGTCAGCTTTACTCCACATTCCTTAATGATGCAGTCAATCTGCTCCTGCTCTCTTTCTAAATTATTGCTCCTAACTTGATCTTCAAGCATATCTTCCTCTTTTTGTTTTCCTTTTTGGGATTTGAAGGCTTGTGTTTCCGACATGTCTCGCGAGTCTTCCCTTTCTGGAGGCCAACAGCTGCTGTCTCCCCTGCTCTGTGAGGTGTCTGTTCTGACTTTCTGCTTTTGACTCTTCTGCAAGTCTGTCCTGAAGTCTATGTCTGAATTCTCTCCTGACAGAATTTTCATTCCTAAGCACATAGCTTCTTTGCAGCTTTATAATAAATGGTCTCTGGTTTGTTGCAAAGCATAGCATTAGTACACAGAAGTTGGAGGTTATTCTTCAGTTCTTCTATCGACTGGTCATTGTTCTTGATCTTTTCTTTCATGGCACTAATATTCACTGGGTGTTTAATGATCATGGAGTAGCCAGGAGCAATAAAATCAGTCACAGGAAATGAAAAGAAAGCACCTGGGTCTTTTCTCTGCAACTGTCTAATCAGTTGATTCAAATCTTATTGAAGAAGTGTCTGCTCTAGTTCTTGTTTGGCTGAAAAGCACCTGAGAGGCTTCTCAGGAGGCAAGTCTAATCTTGCAGGGGCCTGGCACCAGAGGTCTTTCTGCCTCATTCTCCACAGGGTCTGATCTCACCTCTTTTTATCTTCCACTCATCTGCATTTCTCCCCTTTTCTTCCTCTGGAACCTGCTTCTTGCCTTTCTCTTTTCCACTTTTTGTCCTTGTGTTTGTCATGATCATTCTTGTCCTGGAAGAGGCTTGAGTCCTGCTGGAGCTGCCGGTGGAGAGCTCAGTGACTTCGTTTCCTCCCACTCTGAGGACCAGCTTCAAGGGTTTTTCTACATAATCCCTGTAGAAGGAGGTGTTTGTTCGACTTGGGCTTCTTGCCCATGTCCAACCAGCCCTGATGCCGCCCTGTGCACCAGCCCTAAGCTGTGCGGTGCAGCTTTGGGTCAGGGCCAGGTGAACAGAGGGTGAGAGCCGGATGCATGAGACACTGCACTCCCCAACCCTGATAGACACAGCTGGAGGCCCTCCTGATCATAATTTTATGTAGATACCTATACATATCTGGACATTTCCATAAAATTATATTAAAACAATGAATTTACAACCATCCCTCTAGTTGCAATCCAACTAGAGTGCTCTTTTATCCTAGCCCTGCTTATTTGTAACTTCACTAGTCCCATTAACCTTGATGCATTTACTCCTTATTTGCTCAAATCTCCTTGTATGTAATCACACTTTAGAAAACGGGGCTTCAAGAAAGGAGAAAGGGGAAGGGAAAAGGAGCTAACTATATTTTCAGGAAGACTTGATCAGACTAGGCCCTTCTGACCTTCCTTACCCATCTGTGGGACTGGGAGTTCCTAGGCATGTTTGGAGGGAGCTGATGTTGCTATCCATCTAAAACAGTGATTTTAATCCATATACCCTGGCACACTGGTTTGCTACAAGAATTTTAAAACATGCAATACCTGACTAGCCAGGGGCACTGACCTCTTTTCACTTAAGATCATCAAATTTTAAAAAATGGTCCCGGCTGGTGTGGCTCAGTGGATTGAATGTCAGCCTGCAAAAAAAAGGTCACTGGTTCGATTCCCAGTCAGGGCACATGCCTGGATGCGGGCCAGGCCCCCAGCTGGGGGTGTGCAAGAGGCAACCAGTCAATGTTTTTCTCACACTTCAATGTTTCTCTCCCTCTCTTTCTCTCTCCTCCCCTCTCTGTAAAAATAAAGTCTTTTAAAAAAAATGACAACAGCCAACACACCATTAGCCATCTAGTGTGATTGAATCAATCTATTTCATATCTATTTCATATCATATCTATTTTATGTCAGATTGGCAAAAATATATATTTTGGTATGTCACAGAATTTTAGTAATTAGCTTATGTGTGCCATGAGAGGAAAAAAATTGAAAATCACTCATATAATATAGTTGTTCTCAACTTTGAATTCAACTTTCAAATTTGGCTTCATATTAGAATCATCCAGAAAACATTTTCAAACATTTTCTAATCTACATTCTATATCAGTTAAATCCCATTCCCTAGGGGTGAAACTCAGTCATCAATATTCAGTATTTTTTAAGCTTCTGAGGGATTTCAATGTGAGTCAAGGTTAAGAAAGAAACAACAAAGCAGATTTTTACCTTATAAAGTAAAACAATTAGATCATTATTTCAAATTGTGTTTTTCAAAGGCAGTTTATTAATAAATAGAAGATGTATAAAAATGGAAATTTTTGAGAGGCTCACAGCTCTGTTTTAACCTTTAAGGCTTAAAGTATTTACTGTTTGGATATTTAATGAGCATTTTGTCTTTTGAAAATGTATCCAGCAAAGACCTAATGAAGAAGGTGGACCTCTGGCTGAAAATGTTTGCTTTGTTTGATTTGCCCTCGAGCAATACTTCTCAAATTCTAATACTCAAACAAACCCATCCTCTAGCTTGTAACAATGTAGATTCAGATTTAGCTGGTATGGGGTGGGGTATGACAGAGTTTATTTCTATAAAGTGACACCAAATTTGTCGGTCTGAGGACCATGCCTTGGTAAAGACTCCTGAATCTCTGCCCTAATAATTTAGTCAGTGACATTAATTTGGAGGGAACAGGCCTCTTTATAAATATGATAAAACTTAGGAATTTCACCAGAAAAAAATGGACATGTGCATGTATAAACCTAAGCATACTATTTCAGGGAAATCATGCATTTATTCAATGAATACCTACTTATGAGTACCAAGTATTTTTCTGGATGCGAATTATAGAGTAATGGAAAAAATAAACAAGATCCCCACCTCATGGAGTTTTAATTGTAGTGGTGGGGACAAAACGCCACCAAGTGAATAAACAAGGCATGGCAATAGTAATAAATGCCATAGGACAGCATACATGGTCATGTGACAGATAGATTGGGTTGGGAGAGTGCAGGAAGTGGTCTGGTAAACTGGTCTGTCTGTGGAGACATCTTGGCCAAGACCTGAATGTGAGTATCTGGAGGGAAAGCATCCCAGGCAATAAGCTCGGTGGATCTGAAGTGGAAATGAGGTCAGCATTTTCAAAAGACATAAAGCAGCTGGTAGAGTGGGCACAGAGCAGGTGAGAGAGACAGTGACAGATGGTAACTTCAGAGGGGTAGAGCCAGATCACTCAGAGAACTTGTAGGTGACAAGGAGGCTGCCTCTACCCCACCCACTTGCCCAAGCCTATTTTTAGACCCTAAGGGAGCCACAATCTCCATTTTAACAACTCCAGACGGAGATGCTAATTTATAAACAGAAGAAAAAAGTGTCTTTTGGCAATGAAAGGCTCAGAGCACACATCTGAAAATCCAGAGGAAGGAGGTAAGCAAGCTTGGGACAGAGCCATTTTTTGGACCCCCACATCGGCAGTGTCTCGAGCAGAGCTGCCAGGCACAACTGCTTGCTGAAATACTGCAAGTTTAAGTTCCTATTTGTGAGCAAAATTTTACAAAGAGGCCTCTAGTTGTCATCCTGTCTCTGCCTACCACAGAATGCTAGGACATCTCAGACCTGCCCAGGATGCACGCAGAAAACTTGGCATCTCTTTTCTTTACTTCTTTGCCATCAAATACCCAGTAAAGGCTTTGTGCTAGCATCAGCCTTATTTTGCTGAGTTGTGAGAGCTTGAATGTGGCTTTATTCAACATTTCACCTGCTTTGTGAAGTATGGTGAGACAACCTGACTTTGCACAGTCTCCTTTTTCTTAAAGTGCCTCTTAAATGGCAACTGTCTTTAACTCTCTTGTGTTGAGGGCTGGTTTGAGACTATAACAGTCTGTAAAACAGCTGCACCATCAGGATTAAGAAGATTTAATTAATACTTTATTTTTTCCTGAGATCCTCTTAGATCCCTAGATTATAGGAAAGAAAATGCACTGGCATTCTTATTTCTAATATATTCTTTTCTTGAAGCGAATCTAAAAATAAAGGATTTAAATCCTAATTCTAATGTGATTGCAAATGAACGGAAACAGTGCTAAACCACAATCCCACTGGGCAACCTTTAGATTGGGTGGTTAAGAAACGTGGCTCTGGCCTTTGCTGGGCCTCAGTTCCTTCATCCACAATGAAGACATTGAAGGAAACAAGCTCCCAAACCAGGGCCAGTGGTATAAAGATCCTCTCCTGAAAATAATACCCCACTGCCCACACACAAACAAAACAATAAAACTTTATTACATGCACACACACACATACCCCCATCAGTTTTTAAAATTATACTGTAAGTATATTTTGTTTTACCTTTTTCTCCCTTGGAAACTATTTTTTACAATAAAAATTATTTTGTAAGTCGAATGCTTGGCCCTCATTTTGTGAGGTGACTGCATGTAGGGGACATGAAGGAGAGGCACTGCTCTGAAACCTCATTGTCTACCAAGTGGATGGGGCATCCTGACAGGGACCTCTATTCCAGAAAAACTATGGGGGCCACCTGATGAGAGAGATGCCAGCCCCAAACACTCTAAAAAGCAGCATCCTATTGTATGTCTCTTTTAATAGAAAGTAAATCTATGGGACTAGGACCTTTCTCACTGCTATGTCTCTAGTGCCTACAATAGTTTCTGGCACATTGCAGGTGCTCAGTATATATTTGTTGAATAGATGGACCCAGGTATTAGTGATTCAACTTTGGTAGCTTCTAGCAGTGCCACACCTTCCATGAGAAAGATGCTCAGGAGCCTGGAAGGGGCAGGGTTGGTAACGCAAACCTTCAGCTTTACTCCCTTCTTCAGGATTTATTATCCTTGAACATTTTGAGACTGAATTTCAGAAGTCTCAAGTAAAGTAGTTGGAGAAAAGATCATTCAATTTTTTCTCAACCCACCTGTCCCTTCCTTTCCCCATTAGTAGGGTCTGAATGTGAATCATGTGTTACAACCCATGTCTGCTCCAAGACAGAAATGATTTCTAAGAATCCAGTCATGAATGACTTGTAAACTTAAGCATCTTTTATTTATTATATAAATCCAGATATTTAAATGGATTAGCTTAAATCAAAATCATTTGTACTAAAGATGCAGATCTCACGTTTCAACAGATTCCTATAGTTAGCACATTTTTCTCATAAGTTGAAAAGATATGAGAGTTGAACTAAAACTTTTTTTTAAAAAGATTTAAAATTCTAATAGTTCTTTTAACAATAATGCTATGCTCATGCAATAAATGACAGTTAAAGTGGCTTTAGCAATGGTGGACCATTTGGAAATCATTTGTGTAAAAAAAATACATAGAATTTGAGTCTCTTTGGAAAATCAGATGCTAAATAGCCCTGAAGCCCAGTAGCTGTTATGAAAGCAGAGGCACCTTCCCATTGGCTGGGGGCATTTACCCAGATGTCTGGCTTTCACATAAAAGACAGAAACCATTGAAGTCAGCTCCCACTTCCACTCAAAGGGCGATAGCATAAACAGCAAAAAAGAATATGGCAAGACTATTGCTACTTTTCCTTCCAGGTCTTGTGGTCATAGGCACCGTGCATGGAATATTTATGGACAGACTTGCTTCCAAGAAGCTCTGTGCAGATGACGAGTGTGTCTGTAAGAATTTTTTAAATGCCTTATATTGTCTTTCTATTAAATAATTGAAAAACTATCCACTAACAGCATAAAATCTAATTGTTCTTCGAAGCAAAACTTCTCTAATGTGTATGTGATTGGCATTGTTTCTTCTGGTCTGTACCTTTACAGTGTTACCACAGAAAGTTCACTTGGCTAAGATTCTGTTGGATGCAGCTTTAATGCTTTGGACTTCTTATTCTGTTTGAATTGAACATGAGCTGTGAATAGAGGGGTATTAGTCACTCTGATTTCCTAGTTTTCTGATCTGCTCTTCCTTTTTACTGTTTTAAAATCCAAGGAGCCTAAAAGGTAGCCAGTCATTCAATGTTTTGTTTTGTTTTGTTTTGTTTTCTTTTCTTCCAGATACTATTTCTCTGGCTAGAGCTCAAGAAGATTATAATGCCCCGGACTGTAGATTCATTAATGTTAAAAAAGGGCAGCAGATCTATGTTTACTCAAAACTGGTAAAAGAAAATGAAGCTGGAGAATTTTGGGCTGGCAGTGTAAGATGACACTATTAAAAATATACACACATCTTGACATATGTTGCTCATAAGTTTTTCCTATTACCTGTTATTTTCAATGCATTGTAATGTTTAAAACTAGCTGTTATGAACAAGTAAAGATTGTAGATTCAAGTACAAAAACTCATATATATTTACTTTTATTGCATTTTGAAGAAATGATGAAAATTTTATAACAAAACCAAATGTAGTTTTATGTGATGTTTTGGCAAAAAAACCAAAATGAACAACCAAACAAACAAGAAAACCACTAGTCAAATACATGGGAGCTTGAACATCACAAAGGGTTTGAAAGTGACTCAAAACTGTTTGAGTGGATTTGCCAAGTAAAGGCATATATGTTGGCAGTCAGTCTATGTTGTAATATTTTAGAGAAATTTTAATCTCCTTCTTTAATTCCAAAGAGTCTGGGTTTTTTGTTTGTTTGTTTGTTTGTTTCTGTTTTTTTTTTTTTTTTTTAAGTTAAAACATGTAGGATGGGCCCTGGGGAGGGATGAACAGGACTGATTTATTCTCCTCATCTGAAGGGACACAGCTAGAATCTCACGTAATAAAAGACTAAATCTTAAATTCACTCAAGTATCTGTTCATTTAAACTTTTAAAAACTGAGAAATATGAGTCCTTTAGATTCAAAATGCCTATTTACCTTTAAAAATTTACTGTTTACTTATGGTTCCAAAAAGATTTCAGGCAACTCAAAGACTGCATAAAACAAAGGAATGCTGAAGTAGTGAGACCAGTAAGACTGGGCCACAGAAGAACAGACACAGAGTTTCTGTGAGTTGACTTAGCTGCTCTAAGTGAACTTCAAATTTAGGTCTGAGCCTCCCAAATCCAGAGTGACAAGCAAGGCTTTGGCGGTTCTGTTATTAACAGCAAAGGGGATGCCTGAGTGTTTCTCAAAAAGGACCCACATCAGCCTTCCCCTGACTGTTGCTTCTGGGTACTCAGGTGTATGGAGAGCGCCATGAAGACGAGATGGGAACTGTGGGCTATTTCCCCAGAAACTTGGTTGAGGAGCAGTATGTGTACCAGGAAGCCACCAAGGAAGTCCCAACTACGGTATGTGTCTCAGAGGTGTCCAGAGAAATAGTCAGATCTTAAGGTAATGTAGGCTGGTGTTTAAAACATGTCATGTAATTTAGAAGATAGAAGATATATGGAACAAATTCCCTAATTTCCAATGGTGACTTCTGAGACAGTGAAGTTTGGGAGGGCATTCATACCTACTGTCAATGTTGTAAGAGAACTGAACTTTCTCCACTGACTCCATCTGGTTTTAGATGGAAGTTATTCACGTCACAAAGAAAGAAACCAACATAGTATTATCTGATGCTTACTGATGGTTACACACTTATTTGCTAAAGATGGGCTGGGAAAAAAAAATACCACTTGTATTCAATAAAATCAAAATATTTGGAAAAATCTTTGAATGCCTTATTTTGGGGGGTAGATAAGACTCCACTTATATATGAAAAAATACACTCTTTCCAATGCCCTGGGGTCATGTAAACCAAGGACAGTAGCTCACAGTAGCCCTTTGGGCTACTTTGTAAGGTGGTTATTTTGAAGCTACTCTCCTGGAGCTAATTGCTGTGCTAAATAACTTCAAAGCATTGCCCAGCCTCCACAAGTGAGACTCACTTGTCATCACTTCTCAGAGTTGAGCTTGAATGTCTCAAATAAAATTAAAAGTATATTTGTAAAATTATACTTTTTGTATATACTTTTTGTAAAAGTATATTTGTAAAATTTGTAAAAAGTAAAATTAAAAGTAAATAAATTAAAAGTATATTTGAGAACCTTCATTTTAAATAATTTTTTTATTTAAAGTGATAATTATGTCATAATCATTGGGTTTTACTTATTTTAAATCTAAATTAACCTTTGATTACATACGATTTTAAATAAAGAACCTACATCTGTTTTCTGGCCCTGCCTGTTCAGTTCAATCTCTTTTTTCTTCTCTCCCTCCCACCCCCAGGATATTGACTTTTTCTGCGAGTAAGAAATTAGACAAATCTGCAGACAGAAAGAAAATACCAAAATCAAGAACAAAGCAAAAAAGAGAAAACTAACCCAAAATCACAAAATATGTGTCCCTTATTTCTGACTTTTTTCTCCAGGGTTTGTTACCTTATTGGAGGGCTGGGGTTTGGGGCTGGAGGTGACAGAAAGGAAAGGAAGGGCTTCAACTCGGTCTCCTTTTCTGCTGGCCTGGTTGTCAATGCGTCGTTTGGCTCTAGTGGGTGATGGAAAGCCATGAGTTATTTTTCAGCCTTCTCTTACAGAGGGATGCATAGAAGATGGTTTATTTGTAGCTGTTTCTAAATAGAAATTCCTCCCATCTCTTTGGCTTCCTATATAAACTTGGCAGATCATACAGTTCTTCTCTTTGGACATAATGTTTTCTACTTATTTGTCTCTGTGGAAAACTGGAATGTTATAATGTACCTGAAGGGACTGTATCATCCAAGAGTATTCTAGGATTGTTGTTACCTTTAATATTTGATGGCTTTGGGATGTGAAGCTGTTGGTGGGGCAATGCTATTTGGAAACACAGATGTTCGGACTATGCTTTTAAATTTCTCTTTTAAAAAAGTCTCATAAATTATTTAAATTGAATAATTTTACCCTCTAAATGATCAATTTACTTCTCTCCAAATTTTAAATAGCGGGGTGGGATAGTTTATAAAATATTTGTAATGAAATAGTTTCCACTTAATGTGAAGTGAAATAGTTTTCACTTCAAATGAAAAGATACAGAAAAAAAAAGTCTATGGGTTATTTTCTCTACTTTCATTTCAACTTTGAATTTCCTCTTCCTGTGCAAATTCCCCAGGCAAGGATGATGTGTCAAGACAATGTGGTGGGGGATGCAGGTTTCATAGTTCCAATGGACCCTATGTTTTTCTATATTCAACTGGAAATCTGCTTTGATTTTGTATTGCTAATGTAATTCTTGTGATGTAGTACTGAATTTTGTTTGTTTGTTTACAAGTAATTAAAATGCCTGGACTAGAGTTAAAAAAATTAACAATTTCTGAGTTCATTTTTTTAAAAAACAATTTTACTTTGGGAGGGGGTGCTTGGGATTGGGGTTTGTTCCTCAGTTTTCTGTGGCCTGGTCATTTGACAAGCCTGAAGAAGAGGCCATGTAAGGCAAGTTGGAGACTTGGACCCCAAGGTCATTTTTATCTGTATCTATTGTGACTTTGGGTGAATATGTTTTTGCCAAATTCTTATGAAGTTCAGTCAGGTAAATGATACAAAAAGAGAAGAAAAGGAAAGCCTTAAAAAAAAAAACCCCAAACGCACTGGTTTATTTGTTTCTATCCCACTTTATTCCATTAAAAGTTTCAGGCAGCATGTAGGGCTCACAACATACTTTGAAGGGAAGAGGTGTTTATTCCACCAATGTTTCTATCAGTCTCTCACTTGCTGGCTCCCCCATTCCAGATTCCCCATCACCCCAAGACGCCCAGGAGCCCCATTTTTGCTCTCAGTCTGCCCAACATCCCCAGTCTGCCTGGCCTCACCCCCCAAGCACAGGGCTTCCAACTGCAGCTTCCTTCCTTGCCCCAGTCAGCTCCTACCCACCTGGACTGACATCTAACTGGAGGAAAGGGGGCTGGGTGGTTGAGGGTGAGGGTGTGGGAAACAATGAGGCCCCTGGGACCCATTCGTACTTGGGGAATTTTCCTTTCTTCCTTTCCCACTAAGAGCAAGGACATGTTAACAACTCTAAGAGGCTGGGAACCACTTACATTGTTGGTTCACAACCCCAGGAGTCCCCTGGGTTAGATCTGAAACTGGCCCCTGCATGCAGAGAGCAAGAGCAGGAAGAAAGAGGCAGCCCACTCCAGGCTGGTAGATGGCAGTTTAAGAAGCAAGGGGACTTGCATCTGAGGCCACCAGACCTCTCCATGTGACTGAGCTCGGCAGCAGTTTTTGTGCAGTGAAGCTTTATAAATCCCTAGCATATTCCATATGCTGAGAAGAAAGAGTAGTCGAAGGTGTCTGCCTTTCTCAGTGCCTACCCTTGACCCAAGGTAAATGTGGGCATTTATTGCTTCTCATGTTTATTGGTTGAGAAGACACTCGTGTCCTTGTGGATCTGATTCAAAACAGGAAAATATTAAGCTCATTTGTGTAGTATTTAAACAAATCCCTGGAGGGAGTGGGTATTTCAGCTGAGTGGAGAGAAGAAATATGAGCTAGCACTAGGAAGAAAATCTCATTTCTTCAGCCATCAGCTTACATCTATCTGAAATGGTGAAAAAAATAAGAAAAAGAAATTACACAAGCAAGTACTATTCCATGTTCTACCCTTGAAATGCAATTTTCATGACTTAATGTCTTCGCAGCTGTGTCCCCCACAAATACCAGCGTATATCAGTAATTCAATCAGCAAATGGCATATTGATCCACATGCTTTATATAACTACCCTCTAACCCATCATTAACAAAGACAGAGAATGCTCCCCAGCCCGTGATTTAAATATTGTTCTAAGTGGAAATGACTTTTCTGTCACACGTGAGCAATTGTTTTAATCATTTTTCTCAAGCAAATGCTGTTCTAAAGCCGAGGAAAAAAACGAGGTAGTGCTACTAATATCTCACCCTCCTTTCCAAAGCTCAACTCTTGTTATCCTTCCTCTCCCCTTTTCTTATTTGCTTTACCATGTGAATTTATCCTGGATAAATGAACCAGTGGAGATGGGAATGTTAATTTGTTTGAGCAATCCTATGTCAAGCTGGGAAAAAACCCTCAAAACTTTCCTCCCTGCTCCTTCTCTTCTCCTCTGTCCCTTATGACTCCAAAATGATTTAGGGGCCTTTTTATCTGGTTCTAGTTTTTTTTTTTTTACTTCTGGGTCTTAACTTACTACTATTAGGATCACCACCCATGGAGTTGCAGACAAAATTCAGCCTTTGACTCCCAAGGAACACAGGCAGACACATGGTTCCCGGGAAGCAGCCTCAGCCATGCTCAGAGGGTCAGTAGACAGAATGGGTCAGCTGTACAGACTCTCAATGCTAGTCTGCCCTGCAGGAAAAGGCTGAGGGCTCTTGGGTCACGCTAGGTAACTTGTGTGCCCAAATCCTTCTGATGCTTGAAGCAGGTAGATGGATGATGATGGGAGAAAGGAACCAGTGATTTTTGAGCATGATCTGTAAACCAGTGTTTTAGATGAGGTTCCCCAGAAACAGATCTTGAGATCAGGATTTAGAGTAGAGAGATTTATGGAAGAAAGATTCCCAGGGAGTGTGAGGGGAGCAGCAGAACAGGTCAAAAATGGTGCCAACCTACAGTGCTGGTTTCTGCCTGACCCCCCTGGGGCCTCAGGGTTGCAGTAGGTTACACCTCAGGGGCTGCCTTGCCTGTGTCAAGGAAACTGAACTGATCCGTTGGTCATTGATTAAGGGTTGCTATGGGGGGACATCATCTACAGGCAATTCTGGCTTTCTCTGCATATGGGCAAAGTGGATTCGCTGTGGCTGTAAGTACTGAGGGTGCAGAATGACACTAAAAGGCATTCAAGGGCACTTGGGGGGAACATTGATGTTATCTGCTATAGCCCTGCTGTGTTCAAGGTGCTTTTCGCTTCACTTCATCTTCCCAGAAATCTGTGAGCATGCTTGAGTCCCTACTATAACCTTCATGGGACAAGTGGAGGATAATCTGGTCTCACATTTCCTCTTAGTTCCAGAGGTCCTGAAATTGTGATGTGCAAGTCAGCGGTAGGGAGAAACTTCAGTGGGACTAGGGTGACATCCAGTGGTGAATTTCAGAACTGGCACACAGAGAGACATTTCTAAACTTGAGTCAGCAGCCTAGGGTGTGAGCTTCCTTCACAGCATTTGGAATCATCGATGTGAGGGCCACTTCCTCGGATGGACTCTACCTACTTTACTCCTCCCCTACAACACATACAATCTTAAAATATGCTTGTCACATGGCATAGAGAAGGCTGTTAATATGCTTTTATTGCTGACCTTAAGATAAATTCAAATGATTTGAACATTCACACATTAGGGGAAAGCTGACATTTTACTTTCGGATCTGCTTTGCATGTTTGCCTTGGATATGGAGCTTAAAGAATTTAGGGCTTATTTTAGTTGATTTAATCCATTTACAGAAAAGCAGCAATAGTACCTTGAGCTCAGAGAGTCAAAGCTTTTCTAGAGAACAATTAGCAAGACCTCCAAGCCTCTCCAGGGGTGTCATAGGGTGACTGAAAGTCACAGGACTCAGAGTGCCAGATCACTTACTTATAGTGTGGGAGCATGGATCTGCAGCCAGACAAGATGGCTTTAAGATCACAAGCTCTCCATGCCACCACGCTGGGATAGAGTTAAAGAAGCAAGTCGGGGTTTCTATTTCATCCATCCAACAGCTCAGTGCTCTGTGGCAGGGGTCCCCAACCTCTGGGCCTTGGACTTGTACTGGTCAGGGCCTTTTAGGAACTGGGCCACACAACAGGAGGTGAGCTTGAGCGTAATGCTCTTGAGTCATCCTGAAACCATCCTCCCCACCTCCAGCCTATGGAAAAACTATCTTCCATGAAACTGGTCCCTGATGCCAAAAAGGTTGGGGACTAATACTCTATGGGGGAGAGTTTGACCACATTATCCACCTTCTCCTGGAGACATTTGGCAACATCTGCAGACATTTTTGATTGTCACGATAAAGTTGGGCCAGTACTGGCAAATATCCTATAGTACACAAGAGAGCCCCCGACCAAGAATGATCCAGACCCAATGTCAGTACTGTCCAGGTTAGGAAAGCCTGCTCTCTAAAGGGTGATATGAATCAGTGGGTAAACTTTGAAAGAATGACAAATGCTAGAAAGGCCAAAGTAATTACATGGTTGTGTGTTTGTTCTCCAAGTCCAATCTGGAGTGGTTTTTTTTTTTTTTTTATAATGAACCATTAGGTAGAGCTGGATACCTGAAAAATGTTTGTGCCAGTTTATCTTGATGCACGTATACCGCACCTTCTGTGCTGTGACCAAACACAGACCACTTCCATCTTCGAATCAGCTTTGCACAAACGAGCGTCAGCAATTCTCTTTCTTTAGAAGTTTAAACGTGGCTCTTTTGCTTCCTGCTCTAGTTGTGTGGGCTCTTACTCCGGAAGCAACATTTCACCAAATGCCCTCTATCAACTCTAGGAGGGCTGAGGCTCCTGAGGGGCTGACACACTGAGAGGCAAAAGGCTATTTGCATTTATTCCTGCAGATGCTTCTGATTCCAGCCTCCTCTAGGAGACGGCTTAATTGTTTTTCAAACACCTATCACGTCCTCCTAGCTTTACAGCTTCTTCTAGGAGATGATTACAATGTTCTATTATTTTCGAGCAAAAGTAGTGCTTTCTCTCCAGTTGGTAATGCATGCACCGTCAATATCAATAGCTCCAGCTGTCTTTACCCCACATGGATCTCCCTCTACTTTATTTCCCTCCTGTGCTATCATCATCCCGTTTAACCTTTCTCAAGAGAGCTTCCTAGGCACACACTTATATTTAAGGTCTTTGTACATTTATGGATACAAT